TGACTTTGTGAAGCTCTCTGCCTCACTTAAATCCAATTCACTCACAAGTCAAGACATCACCCCATCATGTCATTGGTCCTCTTTGAAAATGAAGGAACAACAGGTATCAGGGAATTTCCCTATAAATGTATGAATAAGTCCTTATCAGTAAGAGAGGATAGCAAGGCTTTGTCCATTGGATGGAGGTGGATGATGAGACACAAGAAATACCTATGATTGGCTGAGGCAAACAATCACAGCCCTTGGGTCTATGTATGGAGTCCAATGCTGGAGTACTCCAGGTTTGGGAGTTGAGAATTACAGTTGGATGGTTGAGGTTCCAGTATCAGGAGTTGAGAGTTACCCCTTTGCCACACATGTTCTCTACATATGGCCCCACTGCCACCGTACTCTAAGTACACTCTTCCCATGGACCCTGTATTTGGGGGTGAACACGTCCCTGTCTTTTGAGGGAATGTTTTTGTAACTGCCGTTCTTGCTATACCTTCTGAGCAAATACCTTTGCTCGAAGCTAATTATCTAGCTGAGCGTTAATGAGAAGCACACAAGGAGGTGCTCCTAGAACCTGAGGGTAGCAGCTGACTTCTGGGGATCTCAACCTACTATTCCAAGTTTGGGGGAGTACCCCAGAAGGGTACAAATGAAATTTCAAAGATATAAAGAGAAACATTATGACGATGGAAAAGGGAGAAGTGTCTAGATAGGATAATCTTCAACATGGAGAACTCATTAGCCCAAAGACCCACAGAGGATGGAAACAAGGGCAGGTGACAGACAATGAAACAAAGAGCAGGCGAGGTCATGAAAGATGAGGCCCAGACAAGAAGCCGGGTCTTTTTCCTAACAAGGACTGCGGGTGGAGGTAACCGCAGAGACAACGGAACATTTCAATTCCATTCAGTCCCACGTTTTGCATGAACCAAGTCAGAGCAGCAAGGCTAATTAGGGAAGCTTTCAATGAGGAAAAAGCTTTGTGGCCAATATCTCTGCCACTGTTCTCACTTCCAAGATACACGCAAGCCCAAAAGCCACTTTAGCAGCCACAAGAAAGAATGCTCCAGATCACTCATAATAAGAACCGTTCCGAGGTTTCGCTTCACACCCGGGATGTTAACAGGAACGGCAAGAGATGGAAGTAGCCAATGCTGCAGCAGCTGCAGAAAGGCAAGCCAGCCCTTGATGCGCTTTTGTCGGAACTGTGAATTGGTCCAAGCATCTTAGAAATCAATTTGGAATTATGCTTTGCTTAAGAGTGATGAAAACGTTCCTATCATTTGATGTGGTTTGGCCTTTGTTTTCTTTGTTTTCTTTTTTTCTTTTTTTTTACATTTTAAAATGAATTTCTTTTGATTTATCAATAATCACTTCCATAAGCTTTTGAGTTTAAAATTTTTCTCCCCCTTCCTCCCCACCACCCTCCCCAAGATGGCGCACAATCTGATATAGGCTCTACATTTACATTCATATTAAACATATTTTCACATTAGTGATATTGTAAGTAGAAATTAAAACCAATAGGAGGAACCATCAGAAAGAGGAAACAAAACTCAACAGAAGAGAAAAAAGATAGCAATTCGGCTTCCGTAGTTCTTTCTTTGGGTGTGGATAGCATTTTCTGTCACAATGCCTCTGGAGATGTCTTAGATCCTTGTATTGCCAGGAAGGGTTAAGTTTATCAATATTAATCATCCCACAATGTGGCTGTTATCGTGTACAACGTTCTCCTGGTTCTGCTCACTTCATTCAGCATCAGTCCATACAAATCTTTCCAGGTTTTTCTGAAGTCAGCCTGTTCATCATTTCTTATAGCACAATAGTATTCCATCACATTCATATACCACAACTTGCTCAGCCATTCCCCAATGGATGGCCGTCCTCTCAATTTCCAATTCTTTGCCACCACAAAAAGAGCTGCTATGAATATTTTTGACGGTGTGATGTCTTGACTTGTGAGTGAATTGGATTTAAGTGAGGCAGAGAGCTTCACAAAGACATCAGCCTCACTCTCTCTTCTAGAATCATTGAAGTCCAGTGACAAGACAAAAGTCAGGCTGACTGCAGATGGCCCAGGATTCAGAGGATGACCTTGGCTTCTTCCATGTCTGCCCAAGCTCTAAGCGCTCCACAGCACCTGCTTCAGCTGCCTTCATGGCCGGTGGAACAAATTGTTCTCATCCGCCCATTCTGCCAATGGAAGTTTCCACATGCTGGGGGTAGACACTCCCCCCCCCCAACTCACCATTGGGTTTGAGGCCTGTCTGTTACCCTCAACCTGGTTTAGTCTGTCTGCAGAGATGGTTTCACCAAGGTGTTGCCACTGCACATGCTGCAGCTTCTTTGGAGCTGCAGGTGAGAGTTGGGTGAAAGCTGGATACTTACTAGCTGGACCAAGGTGCCCTGTCTCCCTGTTCCTCAGTTCTCTCATCTGCAAAATGTACTTATACACTTTCCCTCACAGAATTGTTGTAAGGAAAATGCTTTGTCAACTATTAGACACTAATAAACACGTGTAACCTGAATCCCCAAATACATTAGCATGGGACTCCCTCCTCACTAGTGGAGATCAGGGTTCTGTGTCTGCACAAAGGGCGTTGTAGGCTCGGTGAGAATCTCTTTAAGCCTCTTCAGTGGCCCCCGGCGCCTCTGGCTTCCATTTTGGAGAGAGAGGATGGACACAGTCCACCCCACTTCCCATTACTGAAGGAAAAGCCTCTGGGAAGAAGCTGATATGAGACTTTGGGGAGTTTCTCCTTGGGTGAGATCTGAGACTCTCCTTTGGCTGAGCTGGGTTGCCTTGCTCCCAATGGGAGAGCTCCTTTACTCTACATTGCCTGGTGTACCTTCTCCCATGTATACCATCTTTGATCTCCATTTTTGCTATTCAAATCAAATAAATGACTTTCTTGACTACCTACTATGTGTGTTCATTGTGGAACTGGTATTTGGTGGGAAAGGGATCAAATCTTGGCTATAGAGCTTGGGGTCCTGTTCCCCCATTAATGAAACAGCGATCAGAAGTTAGCTTGGACCCGAGAATCACATTGTCTAGATGAGCAATATTCAAAGGAGCAAACAGATCAAATTCTATTCCACTCTCCCTCTGTTTGGGGAGAGAGGAGTGGCCAAGCTTCTGGCCCTAGCCTCCTGCTTCCCTTTCTAGCAGGAGCTAATGTCTCCCTTGGAGAAGCTGGGGGAGGGGGGGAGAGAAGAGGCTCAAGATATCTAGCCTGTCTTCCTTCAAGCCACACACTGCACTCCCCATGCCACATGTGAAGGGCCTCACAACACATGAATTATTACTGGAGCATAGGGCATTTGGGAAGAGAATGTGGGCAGAGAGAAAAGGATGCGAAGAGGGGAGGTTCCACTAGATGGCGGCAGCAGCTGCCTCTAGGGAGCAGAGAGTGAGCTGAGCTGGGGGAGCTGGGTCACACTAGGAACTTGGCCTTTGTTCTATGTGGATGAATGTGTGCGTGCATGTGTGTGTCTATCAGTGTGAGTGTGTGCATGAGGGTGATGGTGTATGTGACTACATGAGTGTGTATGTGCATGTCAGTGTGTGACTATCAGTGCGCTCCTGTGACTGAGTGTGATGTGTGGGGGACTATTTCAGTGTGTGCTTACGTGTGTATGTCAGGGTGTGAGTGTGTGTTTATGTATGAATGTGACTGAGTGTACAAGTATGTGTATGTGTGTATGAATGTGTAAATGTGCATGAGTGTGTTAGTATGTATGTCATCACGTGTATTATATGAGTGTATGTGAGTACATGAATGTGTGACTGGGTGTGTGTATATGTTAGTGTATGTGAGTATGAATGTTACTGTGTTTGTGTGTGAAGTATGTGTATTTGTGTGAATATATGTCAACGAGCATGTGTTTATGTGAGTCTGTGTAAGTTTATGTGTGTGAGTGTATATGTGAATGTGTGCGAGTGTATATGTGAATGTGTATGAGTGTATATGTGAATGTGTGTGAGTGTATATGTGAATGTGTGCGAGTGTATATGTGAATGTGTGTGAGTGTATGTGAATGTGTGTGTATATATGTGAATGTGTGTGTATATATGTGAATGTGTGCGAGTGTATATGTGAATGTG